TAGCCTTCGTCTTTTTTATGGTATGGATATATATATATATATATATATATATATATATATATATATATATATATATATATAGACGTGAGCAAAATTTCCTGGCGCTTTCTATCTTGAAAGCTGGAGATTAAATCCACTCTAAAACATTTTTTGTATTTATCGAGTGTTGAGAAAATAAATATATAACTCGGTACCTCCAAAGAAAAGTGATTCCTCAGGTTTAAAATTTAAAAAAATCTTTATTGAAGCTTTTATTTTAGTTTTAAATTCAAACACAAAGATTAAATTCAATCTCCTCAATAAGCAAAATACATTGCTGTAGTTCAAAAACGAATTTAAGTTGATCTATATTAAAAAAATTTTTAATCACTAAAAACTCCTGATTTTATCTATTTTTAGCTCTAACTGAAATTTTGGAGGAATTTCAAGAGAGTGAAATTTGGGGTGAATTTTAAGAGAGTGAAATTTTAGGTGAATTTGATATGTGAAATTTCGGAGGTATTTGAAGAAACTGAAATTTTAGAAGAATTTTAAGTGACCGAAATTTTAGAAGAATTTGAAGAGACTGATCTTCCAAGTTACACGGTAACACACCGGAAATACCAAGGAGCTCTCGAAAACAAACTCTTAATAAATAACTTGCCTCATTTTCTTTCACTGTTTCCTTTCTTTAAGAAAGACATTTCGCGCCTTATGTTCCCTTAACGTTTGACTAACGCGCCTCATATGAAACAAGCTTCTGTTGTCCTCTTTTGATTCGATGTTCGCCCAACCACAACTGAGTTTCATGTCATAATAGAGAGAGCAGACAGAAAGAAAAATACAGTTCTCCTTTTGCTTCAGTCAGTCTTTTTTAATGAGCTTATCTGCGTGTGTATGATGTATGAGTATGTCAATTACCAAGAGTATATTGGTGTGGAAACGCTTACACGTGTTTGTGCGTGTGTGTGAGAAAGAAAGAGGAGAGAAAGAAAGATAGAGCGCATTGTGCATGAGAATATATCAATGTGCTTTTACTAATGTTCACCCTATACAAGGCCCAAGAGCCACTCGAGGTAGAGGGTTACTGAAGGAGTTTGAAGGTAAGCGGAAAGAGTAAGAGGTGCCGTTTATGAGGATATTTGGGAAAGATAACGGTTAACCCTAGACTTGAATAGGTTAAAATTGTAGTGGTCAAGGAAACACCCTCTTGGGAGTCGGTTTCAAAAAGTAGCAGTTCGTGGAAAGAAAGTGATTGATTGGAATTTACTTCTCATTGACGGAATGGGAGTGTTTTGCTACAGTGTACGTCATACGGTGGTTCTTGACTGTGCCGGTTGTTTTTAAAACTGCTGTAGCTAAGCAATTTAGCTCGTCAGAACATTTTCCATAGTAATAGAGTAGCAAGAGGCTTGCGATGTTTCGTCTGTGGGAAAGGGCTTTATGGTGGAAAATAATTCATCACCCACAAGGCCGCGTAAACGTTTTTGAACTCTATCGAGCCGGAAAAGTGATGACCATGCAACTCCAGTCCAGATATTGCAGAAGTACTCCATTTTTGACCTTATCTGGCTTTTGTAAAAATAGGGGATAACAAGAGGGGTCAAGTACTTACTGGAGCGGTATCAACCATTTTTCCAGCATCCTTAACGTTTATACAAATTCCACATAAGGTATAGAACGAGCTTAAGTACGAATAGGCGTTCAAGGCAATGGGCCTCTTTGGGACAACACCCGTTTATTGCGATAGACGAAAATCCGGTGTATTTTTTTCTTTTTGATGCTGCATCGGACCTAGGTTATCAAAGCCGATCTCAGACTCCTTTCTTTATCTACCTATCTTTACATATGTATCTCAGTCTGTTTGTAGATTTATCTAAATCAATTAATATCTATCTCAAACTGCTTGTACATTTTATTCAGTTTTATATACAGCGTTATTTGCAGTCGCTTCACACTAATCAGGCTGCTCTTTGATACCTTTTAACTAAAATTTTGCACGAAATACTTTTTACTTTTAAGTAAAATTCAGTGGACGAAATAAAGGGTTCGGTTCGAAATTCCAGTCACCTGAAGAAGACCTGAGCGTACAACGGTCGAAACGTTGTGAATATGGCAATGAAGATGAGGATAACAGTCCAAATAATATAAATAATGTAAATAATCATAATATCTCATCTCGGAGATACAGACAAAAATTCAGCACGTTTCAACGGTTTGGGTTGAACAGGCCAACCGAGTTCTGAAAATGTTTTCCAAAAGTGTAATTCTTGCTGTATGCAGTCTTGTGTCGTCATGGAGGAGAACAAGAGATTTCCTAATGGCGAGCGCATATGCTTTTCGATACAACTTTTATCAACACGTTGCAACTGAACGTATAAACGTGCTTTTAATGCTTCATTGAGTTATAAGAACTCTAGATAAATGATAGCTCGACGGTATCATCACACGCCAAACAATTCTTTCTTTCATGTAGAATCAATAGGAACAGATAGGTTCATCTATCGTACAGTTCACACTCCTAGAGATTTATCCATTGTTTCCTGTTTAGAATTGGGTTTCCGGTTCCTTCTAGAGTCTTCTCCTTTTCTTTCTCTTCTGGTAGCCTTCTTGTGTCTTAGTGGCATTGTTGCCTTGCTTGGGGTAAAATTGATTTTAAAAGGCTCAGCTTTTGGCGTCGGTTGTGGAGATATATCCTTTGTCAATCCACTACATTTTTTGGTGAACATTTTTGTTGTACGGAACCTATTTCATCAACTGTTCTGATATATTGAAGAAAATGTTAGTTAAGATAATATAGTCGTTATTGCCACAGGTTCCTAAAGACAGTAATTATTTGTGAACCAACCTAATATATCAATATTCTTTCAATGACGACATGTGCAAGTATGGGAATGTAAATTATCAAGTATATATTGCTATTTTTATATATATATATATATATATATATATATATATATATACACCTCGTGAGCCAGACAAACCTACCTAGGTTTCACCTAAACGGATCGTCAGGGAAAGTCAGGTATCTAGGTCTGCTCTACGGTTGTATTGAGCTCTTTTGTTAGTTGTTTACTCGTATCGGTTTTTTTTCTTTGGGCTTCAGACCTGCATCTGTGCGATTTTTTTCGACAGACTTTCATGTTTGTAGCTCTTTCTTTTTTTAAAACCTTTTTTTCCCACGAGATTGATTGGCAAATAAAAAATTCGAGGGTTTTTCGTAACGAGTATAGTTTTTTATATATATATATATATATATATATACCTACTACATATTACTAAATAGAAATAAAGAATGGAGATCATATGATACATTTGTCATATAAAAAAGCGATAGAGTAGCACTATGGTTACGACATTGAATCTTTTGGGAAAGAGGCTGCAGGGTGGGGAAAATCTACACCCAACAAGATCGTGTAAACGCTTTTAAGCTCCGTCAGGGCTGGAAAACGATGATTGTGCAGCTCCAGCTCAGATATGGCTGTAATACTCCGTTCTTAGTCTCACTTGACTCTTGTTAAAATAAAGCACGACAGATGGAATCTAGTATTTCTTGGAACGATAGAATGATCCGACCACTTTTCCGGAATCTTTAACAATCAATCGTATATATCAGTTTCTCTTGAGGACTGTGGTAAACCTGAGCCCCCAAAAGACGTTCAAAGTATGAGGCTTCATTCAGAGTGGAATCGTTCATCGTGACTGTAGAAATATCATAGCTTGACCGGTGATGAATGAAACGATACTATTAGGTTGGTGCAAAAATAATGACGTAAAAATGTCGTTTTTTGACGTTAAAAAATACGTCAAAAAACGACATTATTACGTCATTATTTTTGCACCAACCTAATAAATTGACTTTTGCTAAACGAAATACTGATTTTCAATGCAGCTAGGAGCTTTTAACTGCACGAAACCCGTTCTTTTATCGGAATCAAAATAGTTGCATACTCATAAAATCTACAACTGATTATAAGGTGTCTCACTTTCTTCATATCAACTAAGTTTCCTGTCAATCTCGGACTGTTGCTATAGATGCCTTCCAAAAGCTAAGCGAAGTATTAAGAAACAGGAAATTTTCAATAGAAACAAAGAAAAGAGTACTGAATACTTATGTAATATCAGTCCTCCTATATGAAAGTCAATGCTGGACAATAATTCTCAGCGATTAAGAAGAACAACAGAAATGTAGTTCTACAGAAGGATGTTGAGAATGCAATGGACTGAACATAAAGTTTTAGCATCTGTCTATATTTCTGATGAGGTATTATGTACATTATTTACATTATTCGGACTATTGTCCTCATCTTTGTCGCCATATCTATTATAACGTTTCGGCCGTTGTACGCTCCGGCTTTCTTCAGGTGGTTGGAATGTCGAACTGAACCCTTTATTTCGCTCACTGGGGTAGACTGTTCTAGTTCCACGTGCCATGTTTCATGGATGTCAGTTATCAGTTATCTCCTGTTAATTTCTCTCTGAAAGTTCTCCACTGCCTTAACCGGGTATTGAACTCACACTCTTTGGGTCCTGTCACTGGATCTAACCAACGCCTTTATCCACTGTGCCATGTGTCCTTGATAAAGTTTTAGACAAAATTAAAACAGAAAGGACACTTATACTTAACACTAGAAAGAGATAGTTGACACTTGTAGGGCACACAATGAGGAAAGAGGGCTTAGAAAAATCAATACTCACAGGACATATTGAAGGTAAGAGATCCAGTGGAAACAGCGCATAATCTACCTAATGATTTTGTGTAAATGGTTGGCAGAACAGGGATTAGGAGAGATAGCGAAAAGACAAATTTTACTAAGAGCGACAACGGACAGGAAATCGTGGAGAGCCATGATTATCAGCGAAAATGAAGAAGACTCAATCACCAGCAATATTTTGCTTTGTCTTTGACTTTCTCCCTCTCTGTCTCAGCCTGAACAATCTTACATAAATCTATCTAGAAAAAATTATGAAATTAATTCTCGTCTGATGGATAATGGAATGCGACATTTGGGGTCTAAAAGTTAAGTAACCCGATGCCGAATCTGTAGACTAACGCGAGTGACTATTGACAGGCCGTCCATCTTCTTCGGGAATGCATCGTCCTTCCCCGTCCCGTTCTCGCGCAAATTGACAAAATGGCGCCGGTAACAAATCTCGTCTGACAACGACGAGCACGAGCCTTGCAGACGGTCACTCGTTAGATGCCGGCCGCCTTCGCTGCGGGTGGCTCGAGAGCAGCAAAGTAAGCTCTATTCCTTCTCTGAATGACGTTCGTTTCCCCTGGAGACTCAATAAAGAAGTAAAATTAAGGGAAATAGGCGGAAGTAAGCACAGAAGGAAGAATAGGAGTACATGGGTCGAAGAAGGGTGCAAGGGAAGGAAAGAAAGGAGAATAAGCAGAAAGAAAATAAAAGGAAGGAAGGAAGGAAGGAAGGAAGGAAGAAAGGAAGGAAGGAAGGAAAATAACTGGCGATAGAAAGAACAACATGATGAATAAAAGGACATGGTTCAAAGAAAAAAACGAAGAAAGAAAAAAGCGGAATAGGCAAAAGGACAAAAAGAAAGGGAGGAAGAAAAGAAGGAAGGAATGCCAGAAAAATGTAATAGAGGAAAGAAGAGAAGAAGGAAGGCATCCATGAAGGAGAATAATTGATCAAAGAGAACAAAATTAACGAAAGAAGATATGGGTCGAAGGGGGGATACGAACGAAGAAGAAAAAAAATGAATATCCCGAAGGAAAAGCGAATAGAAATAAAGAACGAAAATAGATTTGACAGGAGAAAGATTTGAAGAGAGTGATGTTGAATAGAAGGAAATAGGGAAAAGAAGAAAATGAAATAATGGAGACAGCGAAGGATGAAAGGAGAATAAAAGGAAGGAAGGAAGGAAGGAAGGAAGGAAGGAAGGAAGGAGAATAGGCCGTAAGAAACAATTAAGTAAAGAAGGAATGATCGAACGAACGAATAAAAGCGTGCAAGAAGAACGCGATGGAGAGAGGTAGAGGAAAAAACTAGAGATAAAATGAGAAATATAAAGAAAAACGAAAAGGAAGGAAAAGAGAATACGTGGAAGTAAAAAACAAAAGAAAGGGAAGAAGAGCAAAGAAGAAGTGATTGGAAGGGGGGAAAAAAAGCAAGTGTGAAAAATAGCCAAAAAAGCAAAATGAAAGAAATGGAATGAGAAAGGAAGAGAAGAAAGAAAGTTATAAAGAATTACGAAAAGAAAGTTGGAAAAAAAAAAACATGACTGTAAAAGAAATTGAAGGAAAAGAAAAAAATGTAATGCCAAATGAAACGAATAATTCTTAGATAAAGAATAAAAGACGAACAAAGGAGGTAAAAAAGAATGAGAAAAGAAAACGAAAGAATATGAAACTGGCATAGCTTTGAAAGTAAGGAGGATGACGACAGAATACGAGAAACGAAAAACATAATACAAAAATGAAAATAAATAAATAAATAAAAAGCGGAAATGGCGTTATCTGAAGAATCCTGGGCCAAGTTTCATTACTCGGATGGCTTACCTAATTTTAACAAACCTTAAAGAGAACACAAAATGTTACGTAAGCCTGTGTTACCAGCACCAAAAAAAATTTGCTGAGTCAATAATATGCCAGTGTTGAGTCTGGGCAGAAAAAAAAAGCCTCCAACAAAAATGTTTGTAAAGTCTTGAGTTACACTGCTCCATTAAACAATTCTTTTTCCGTTGGTTGCAGGTTAAAACAGAAATAATTTAATAGTTCTTTATTAAAAGATAGAGAGAAAACCATTTTTACTGCTATTTCTCGTCAGGATGTTGGCTAATATAGCACTTTTTTTTAATACTTCATTATCTGTGAATTGCTATGGTCTCGTGGGGAAGATAGTAGCGTAGTTTCTCGTTGCCTTATTCACGGTTTTGTATCCATAATAGTTCTTCTTCAAGACTGGATGACAGCCAAGGCTAGGAAAGCTAAATACTGGTTGTTTATTATTTTAGACAATATTTCCTTGGTTCGGGGATAGGTAAATATTTGTCGTTTAGTTTTAGGCTATATGTATTTACTTAGTTTGGTGATAGGTAAATTATATTTGAGGCTATAATTATTTACTTTGTTAGGGAATAGGTAAATAGATAGATGCAATTAAATACCAATATATATTGAGGTTTTAAAAATCGAGGTATTTTATCTCTGTTTTTATTATTCAAAAGCGGTTTTATAGAGAATAAAAATTCAAACACTGAAAATATATTCCCATTTAATCATGAAAAATTTAGTTGACCATTGATGACAATTCCAGAACAACGTAAGTATAAACAATTTTTTTCTAACCTCTGCCAGCCGCAATGGAGAAAGCATTACCTCGAACCATCGCCAGTGAGACAAGCTGCAAGAGCCACTCCGTTTCGCGAGGCTCGTCCCTTAATCGAGACGCAATCGCGCCAATCCTCTGAAGGAACGCCATTGAACGAGGGCCAATAACCCCTGAAGTCTCCACTGCCACAAGAGTAAAAAAAAATCTATCAGCCAAAGAAGAATATTTAACTAATTTTTTCATCTCTGCGTCCCGGGCGACGGATCCTGGCTCAACCGCGGACCTGATCAAATTACCGACCGAAAATGTATCCGCACAGGTCGCATCTCAAATCAACGACTTCCCCAAAAATTATAAATTATGAAAAATTATACGCCGTCAATTTCTGTAAAGATGTAATCCTTGAGTTGCTGAATTGCCTGCAGTTTATTGATGAATACAATCTCCTTAACGTAGATTTATTGCAAATTGAATTACAATTGTGGCATGAGACCGAAGGAGAAGTTGGTGAGGCTTATCTGCCCTAACTATTCTAAACCTAGCTAATCTGATTCACGACCCATTCACCCATTACAATTTACACATTCACCACAAGAACTTATCTATCGCCATTCAGTACACTATATACTACAGTACCACATACTCACAGGGGCCCTACATAGACATTTCATGATATAACAATTGCCCTTTTTTAGTTTTATTTTATCGTATTTTTTAAATACTTAAATTTTTATTACATGAAATGAGGGAGATGTACCCACAAACGAAACTACAATATAACAAAATATTCAAGCTAAAAATAAAATATGTTAGTAGGACCCGTTCACCCCTCAAAAATAAGGGCCACCACTGTATTCTGCCAATAAGCTCGCCCACTAGAGGAAAGGGAAGGATATAATGAATTAAGAAAGCAGAAAATATCAAAGGCTGAGCCAGTGGAGATGAAAAGGAGAAAAATGAATCCCAAAGAAAATAATTGTGCAGCCTCAGATCAGGAGAACGCGGTGGCCATAAAATTTCAGAATTTCTCCAAATTATGCAGTAAGCAAGTTTGATTAAATCCAAAATAAAATTGTAAGATTTTGGTTTTTTGTTCAGTCGTGATTTTTTTTTTTTTTTTTTTTTTTAGATAATTTTCAGGGATAATTTTCAAGGGTAATATTATCAAACATAATTTCAGGGATAATATTCAGGTATAATACTATCAAGGATACTTTCAAGGATCATTTTCGGGGATAATACAGGGTGTTTCAAAAAATTTGATATCCTTTGCAATGTAAATATCACAGAAAGTACATGATTAAGGTAAATGAAATTAAAAAGGATTAATGTTGAAGATCATAAGATTTATTCTTCCAAATCTGAATGAGAAATTCAAAAGCATGTGGATTATGTGAACGATTTCACAAATGTTCAATATGCGAACCGCCTGAGACACGGCATTTTTATACCTGTAAAGAAAAAGATTAAAGATTAAAGAACATAAAAATACAAATAAGAAAAACACAAAAACATAAAGACATAAAACATAAAACAAACATTAAACATAAAGATGCTATTAAAATTTGAAGGAGATCTAACAAAGTTATTAGATTGCGAAATGATATCAAATTTTTTGAAACACCCTGTATTATCAGGGAAAATTGTCAGGGATAATATATAATTTTTAGGAATAATTTTCTGATGTTAATCTAAGTTCTGAAAAAAATAATTATGTAAAAATATGACATTTTTAAATACTCAGGTGTCTTTTTAGGATACCCTGTTTAAAGTAAGAAAATGACGTGCGTTAATAGTATTCCAATAAGAAAATTAATTCCTACTTTTCCTCCGTTCCCGCCAATTTTCCTTTGGCGAATCACTCGTCATTTGGCGCGTTTTGTTTTAGGATATCACTATAAACAAACGCACAGCATTTGGCCAACCGCTAAAAACAAATGGTTTTGTGCCCGGAGCTAACAAGAAGTATTTGTTCAGCTGTGCAAGACAAGTGATTCTTTCTTTTCTTTTCTATTTTTGATTTTCTTTTTGCTTTGTTTTGCTTTGCTTTGCTTTGTTCATCCCTTCTCTCCTGATTTTTGAGGATCGTCATCTTGGGCGCCAGTCGTACGGAAGATTACTTGTTCAAAATAGGATAACGAACCTCCAATTAGGAGACAACGGGATCTTTATCGTTTCATTCTACATTTTGGTCAGGTGACTACAATCAACATATCCAGTTTCGTTTGTCTGTGTTCACATATGGAGACACCCGATCAGAACCTTCCTTTAAGTATAGTCGCATGTGATAGCTATGACGTTGTTTACAGTCTACGCTTCTACTCTAGGGCCAGGTCACCCAGATCAGTGCTACAATGTTTGTCAAGAACATGCTTATTTACTCACAAAGAATTATATACATGTGTTGGTTGAATTATACCGATTCCGGGGCAATATACCATTTATCTAGGATCAAACAACAAACGGAAATACTCGCATTGTTTTCATGACTGATACAGAAAAAACATGCTTCAGTATAGGTAGGTATGGTTAAATTCTTGTAACAAGAATAGTTACAGTTGTCTTTCAGCTTCTTAACTGTGGGAATACGCACCAACCCCTGAAACTGGAGATATAGCTATGCAGAGGGAAGACGGAAATAAACAACAAGACAGTCAAACACCAAATGACAAAATGATGGATTCTGAGCAGTTGGATTGTGCATTTCTTCCGGTCAATAAATTAATGCTTTAAAAATAAATATTTATTATTTTTAACCAACACGTTGCGTTCCCACCAACAATAAAAAAAAAAAATACATGCTTCGTGATCTCTTTGAAGAGTATTTAAGCAAAGATGCTAGACCAGACAATGAGTAAGAAATGGCAACAGACAGCAACAGTTTCACGACGCATCGGCTTAAAAGAAATTCCCTTACTCATTCACCGGTCTTCCTCAACAAGCTACGCGACACTTACACTTTCCTCCTCAGTTTCTGAATTACCACTTCTTTCTCACCCATACACGCGAAGAAATCACATTTCTTTTCATCTTAACAACTAGAAACAAGGACTGTAAAAGCTTTAACACTCATACACGCTAAGAAAAATTTAGTTATAAAAAACACGAAAATAAAAAATATCTTATATTTTTATATTTAAACACCTTTTTCACCTTTTACTTTGATGTGGATTAATTCAAATCCGCAATATATATATTATGTTTCTTTCTATATATACATATCTATACTATGGTTTAATGAATCATACACGATAGGATATTAACAATAATAACTATAAAATGGAGGAATTTATAACAATATACTGTAATAAATGTTATGTGACGGATATAATTCATTCTTATAGTAGATCATAGTAAACTCAACATAACATTTTCTCGCCATATTGGTGATGTAATGAATGGATAGCGGATCGGAATGAAATATCAAAGAACCAAGTTTAAATTCCAGTCGGTTTCGTTGCATTTACTTACACGCAAATATCTTTAAGAAAGGTATGAATCCATATCCTTCTCTATGGGTTAAATAATAGGACTTGCATCATACTACCATAATAAACGGTGTGTAAATTCTGTTGTCTCAAAATGGCTGAAAAATAAACATGATTTTAATTCCCAATTACGGCTAGTTCATTGTGGCTATGTTCATAGTTGATTTTATTAATGGTTGTTAATTTTGTTAATATAATAAGAGATTCTATAATTTTAAAACACTTCTGGCAGATGGAGGTACGTATCACATTTGTGTTCTCGACGAGCATATGGCTTAAAGAAGTTGATGCAGTTCCATGCGACATTAAATGGTCCCGTATGGAGCTCTGGTCAGAGATGTGTGGTCAGCCATCTTGGCAGACGGTTGGTGGTGTGTCCGACACACACATACATATATATATATATATATATATGTTAAGAAATGGACAAGGTCCGACAATTTATTTATTAAAGACATTTTTTATTTTTATGTTTAACGTTGTTATTTTATAGATACAACAAATGCTCTGTTTAAGATAAACAGTATTAAAATGAATGTCCGAGAAATTTTCATAGAAAATATTCGTTCATAGACGATTCGAACCTGCATCCTATGGAAGTCATATCTGACATGCCTTAACCACTCATACCATGAACCTTATGGTAGACAAGACTGTTATGTGAATCTGGTAACTAAATTGTCGGACCTTGTCATTTCTTAACATATGACGTCATTTGTTTACATTCGATACGCCAGAGCAGTTATGAATGTACGAGATTCATGGAAGATTGTAGTTTATAACAGTAAATTCGACCTTGTCTACCATAAGGTTCATGGTGGCCAGTGGTTAAGGCATGTCAGCGTATATGACAGTTCCGTATAGGATGCAGGTTCGAATCCTGTCTATGAACGAATATTTTATAAAATTTCTCAGACATTCTGTTATTTAATACTGTTTATCTTAAACAGAGCATTTGCTTAAATACTTGTATCTATAAAATAACAACGTTAAACATAAAAATAAAAATGTCTTTAATATATATATATATATTCGTGTTTTTTTCTCTTATACTGACTTGGCGGATTTTCTCACATCAGTAGTCGTAATATTTACTTAGTTTACTTTAAGTAGGCACATGATAACATACATAGGGCACACGGTTAAAATCAAACTCGGTGCATTATTATTTGTTCATTTATGGCATGTTTGCTATCTTTTCAAAGTTCACACGAATTGATATCTTTTAAGCTTATCTTAGTCTGGCAAAGGGCAACATTCATGGAGCAATAAATGGAAATCGGAAGCAGCACACCCTTAATGGTTTCTTTTTGTTTTGCTTTTCTTTGCTTTTTGGCGGTATTTTATTAGCGTAACCTAGCTTAGTCTGGCACAAGGCAAAATTTCCGGGGCACACACTGAGAATCGAGTTCTTAGTGGATGCCTTAACATGACTATTATTATTGTAATGCCCCATGCAAGGCAAGATTGCTAACATTATGTCACGAATTTCTTGACAAACATATCTGACAGACATCTTTCTGCAAACATTTAAAATAACATAATCTTCATTCAAAATTTTTAAAATACCAACTTTAACCAGATCTTTAGAACAAACTGTTCGTTTTATCTAATGAATTCGGCGTCTAGAATAGCTATCAAATAATTTCATAATATTTCACGGTAAAGAAAACTTCTTCATCCTTATGGCATATTTAATACTTTATCCTTTGCTCATAAGATTTTCAGAAATAAATTTCCCGTGAGCCCCGGCTTTATTACTGTGTATAATTATAATGATAGTGCTAAAGAAATAAATTTATATAATTTTTTTACGACCGACCCACTTCTTCACCGAAACTTAAAATTTAGCAGCTGTTTTTCTGACGTCTCATTTTCATATTTATGTATTTATAAGAAATAAATACATTTGCTCAGTTCTCTTTTACCCATTCTCCTTAAATTTGCAACAATTTCTTACTGTGTTCTTTCGAAATGCCAATGTCTTATGCTTCAAAAAAACAATGACAACGATTTTTTTAAATTTTATTTTACACATTGGCTATCAAAGATAATAATCTAATATGGTTATTTACTTTGTACACTCTAAGGAGATATACTTACAATCAGAAAGAGACAGATGAAATTTTCTGATAGACATAATAAGGAAAAGGGTCTGGAGAATTTAACATCCACAGGACTTACTGACAAGAGAAACAAGGACGAACAGAGACTAGTTAACGAATTTGGATAAATGGATGACAGAACAAGGTAAATAGACATATGGAAGCAAAAACAAGACTTCCGCTTAGAATCACAAAAGAAACAATGGAAATTTTCTAAGGGAAACAACATCAGGAGAGACGGTTTGGAGAATTTAACACTCACAGGGCATATTGAAGGCAAGAGAAGCAAAAGAAAGTAGCGAATAAACTAACAAGCTTGTGTAAATGACTGACAAAACTCGGATTAGGAGACATAGTAAAATGACAAACATTACTGAGCTACAAAGACATGAGGATGTGGTGAGACATGTTCGCCCACAGACACGAAGGAACACGGGACAAAGAAGAAGAAGAAGAAGAAGAAGAAGAAGAAGAAGAAGAAGGAGGAGGAGGAGGTGTGCAAACTTACATCAACAAATGATAAATTGTGAAATCTCATGTTTTCCATCAGCAACGGAACAAATAAGAAGAAGAAAGTGTGAAAACTTATAGCAGCAAATGATAAGAAGTTGTGGACAGGCATAATGCCCATCCTTGAAAAGACATAAAAGAAAAAGAAGTTTAATACAGTACACGATAACACAACTATGCAGTATCCGGTGTAGTATCGACCACAATCAGACTAAATCATAACATGGGCTCATAGATCGACAGGTGTACCTTCTACTAAACCCCGTCGCAACCAATCTAACAATAGATACAAAACGTATCATATTTCGCGTATACTAAAACCTTACGCGTGGTAAGACGCATCCTATAGTTAGCTAAGTAACATTTGGAAACAAATATTTGAAGATTTAATAGCTTCCCGTACTAGCAAGTCTAAGCCAACGATTTTACAGTGTCATTTTTCTTTCTGTCACAACATATTACCACATTTTTAACCAGTTATTAAATATTTGTGGCTATAATCAATTAGATTCTCATTCTTTTAATCGTTTCGCCGCAAGCAAGGCAATAAAGCCACTAGGATGCAAGAGGTTACTGAGTGTTAGATGATATGAGAAAAGCTACTATTAAGAATAGAAAACTATAAAAGAACAAGAAATAAATAAATAACAGAAGGCATTGGCATTGCATTTAAATTTTTAAAGATCAAAGTTGACTGGGAAGCAAGAAGTCAGAAGAGAGTTCCACAAAAGAGAAGTGCGATAGAAGACACTGTTAACATAGAACTTACGGTTACATCTAGCTATTTCAACTGTAAAATAAAGAGACATAGCCTCCAGTTTAGTACGGCGCTTACATTCTTAATGTTTACGTACCATGGCGGAAAGTTCATCAGAACAATTACTATGAAAATATTTATAGAAAAGACACAGGAAAATGACGCTAAATCGATGGGAAAGGGACTGTAGCTAAGATGCCAGGACCAATAACATTGCAGATTCTTCTTTGGATTTTATCAAGAATCTCTAAATATATAGCAGGAGCACCAAACCAGATGTGGCAGAAATATTCAAAGCAAGAGTGGCTGGTAGACTTATAAATATGTAAGATAGATTCTGGAGAGAAAAATTGTCTGCTCCGACATAGTGAACAATCTTTCTTAGCTGCAGATTTAGCAATTGATTCAATATACTCTTTCCGCTTCATATCAGCATAAAACGTTAGTCCGAGAAGGCGTAAGACAAGAGTAAATAGTTGTGTCATCAGCATAGACACCGAGTTGAGAACTGATGAAATCAAGAAGGTCATTTATGAAAATTAGAAACAGCGTAGGTCCAAAGATAGAGCCCTTGAGGACACCTGCATTTATGCAAAAAAAAAAAAAATCTAGAAGACAACTCACATTTCCGGATTTGATAAGAAAGATTCAGGAAGAAAATTCGTCCAGAAATACCATAACCTTGTCAAGAAAATAGTTCAGAAGTCTATAAACTTGTGAAGAAGACCAAACCATGCCAAAATGCCTTCGAGATATCCACAGCAACAACCCGAACTTCACCTTTCTTATCTAAAGTTCGATAGACTCTTTCTGCAATAAACATTAACCAATCAACAGTTGACACAGAGAAACGAAAGTCATACTGCTTAGCTAAGAAAAAAGATCCTGCCAGATGCTTAACCAATTCAGAGTTGATTAGAGCCGCTAGTATTTTGCCAAAAAGAGGTAGAAAGCTAATAAGCCGGTAGTTTAAAAAGATCAGATTATTCGCCTGATTTCTTAAAGACTGGAACTACAGAAGAGGATTTTAAAATAAGCAGGAAAACAAGAAGCTGAAAGGCATTTATTTAAGAGAGAACAGAAAACAGCTCACGTTCACATTTCTTAAGGACTATTGCAGGGATACCATCAAGTCTACATGAATATGTTTAGCACAATGTTATACTTATTCACATCAGAAACAATTCGTACTTGCCACCACAAGCCAAAAGATGGCTCAAGATTATACAACACGGCCTTTGTAATGAATCGATGTATATTAGTATATTTTCTGTTTCTGTAGACAGATTTAGGTTAGTGTGTTCAAGGATTAAATATGACACACAGCGTTTTTTGAGATCAGAACATTTAAGAAATGGTTGTTAGAACAGAATGGGATTTGTTTATAAGAAATATTCTTTTTAAAACATTGACCCTCGTTGAATTGTACTAAGATTGTCCATGTTTGATCATTAAGTATAGTTTTTACTTAATAACAATATCACCTAACCGGGACAGAGTAATACAAAAATTTAAAAGATTTAGAACTTTATAAATTATTCTAATTAATTTTTTTTTTTTAAATGTAAAGAATTCTTGTAAAAATTCATTATTCATCGATTTTTTTTTCTTAAGACAATAGTGTCCATAATTTATCTTATTCATAAAAGCAATTAAGAGCTTTTCTAATTAAAGAGTTTTATTTTATTTTTTTTATTTTTTAAATTTTAGAATTCAGATTAGATGTTCGGTCACTGGTGGTCATGTTTTATAAAAAGAAATTGATCATTTAAATTTTTCAAGGAGTGCTGCATTTAACTAATATAAAGATTTAGCCGGACAAAATTTAATTTCTCCAAATTTCACAAAGTTAAATAAGTGGTGGGAACTGATGTAAAATAAAATATTTTGCCATGATTTTCTAAAAAAAAAAAAAAATCATTCCTGAAATATATTAATTCCTATAGTAATCTTTGGTCCTCCCGGTGAAGCTAAAAAAGAAAGATTTTTAACCAAAATTTCTAAAAAGGATCCACAAATATACCGTATTTGATCTCTGTGTGTGTTATATTTGCTTATATGTGTAAAAATTTGAAATAAGTCTTTGTAGGTTTCTGTTAAAGAATGCAGTCATCACTATTTACAAATAATTACTGTGTAGTTGCAGTCGAACAAGATGGCGTGAAATAGAATAGGGAAACTTTTTTTTCTTTACTTTCTGTTGCATCGGATGTTGTTTTCCGTCTCTAAAACGCTTAGCTGCAATGTAACATATGTGCACACGCATATCAACCCGAACATGTCAGAGACTCTTTGGTTGTAGATAAGGAAGTCGGCATTCATTTAGTCCATATCACCTTACATTCTTGTTATAATTAAATTAAAAAAACATCACAGGAGCCGGCTTATTTCTCATCTATCGCCGGTGCTAGTCTAAAACAGTTAATTTTCGTTGGAATAATAACATTTTTGGTTAAAAGAATAAGAACCAAAATAAAGAAAACATCATAACATCGCAGAACGCCTTGTCACAAGTTACACGTACAAGGAAAATATTTTTTAAAGGTCTTTGATCTTTTTGTGTAACATATAATTGATACACAAATCTTAAAAAATTCGTTCAGAATCGACATTTTCTCTCAGTTTCAGACTAGCTGTTTTGTTAAGTACCTATTTATATTGCTTAGTTTTAGGGGAAAGAAGTGTGATAAAGTGGAAAATGTTTTCATGTGACCTGTTTCGTCCTTTTGGTCTTTATCGGACTAAGTTTATCTTTACATGCGCACGGACGAAAGAAATACTGATAATTTTAAATTTAAAATATATAACTTTTCAAAATATATCATTAATCGCTAGATCATTCACAGCAAATTTGCATCCAGGTTCTTATAACGTTTCACCATTCTTGATAGGTTTTTTATTTATAACAAATGTGATAGAAAAATAAACAAAAAAGAAAAAGAATCTTAATGAAATTGGCTAGATATATACTCAAAACACAGATAAATAAAAACTTCACTTTAAATTTTAAATTCCCAGCATTTCTCGTTTGTGCGCATGCGTAGTCGCATCAACATTAACATAAACTTAAATTTTTCCACTTTGTCATACTTCGTTTCCCTAAAATTGTTCTTGATATATATATATATGTGTATATGTGTATGTATATATATATGAAGAAAAATATACAGAAAAAACAAACAAAAATCTTAATATGCAATTATGCTGTATTAATGTTAATATAAAGTCAACGAAACGTCCGACGTTGACTTTATATTAACATTAATACAACATAATTGCATATTAAGATTTTTGTTTGTTTTTTCTGTATATTTTTCTTCATACTGTCGGATCTATATCCATATATTTGCTTACACACACACATATATATATATATATATATATATATAACATTTTTAATTTTTTTTATTTTTATTACTGATAGTCATTAGTGTAATAATAAATGTTTAATCGTCTAGATTAGTTTTTTTTGTTTGTTTTGGGTTTTTTGGGGGTTTTTTTTGTACACGTTCTTTTGAGAGAAGTATATTTTTAAGAAAGAAAGATGGTTTGTGAACAAAACTGTTACACATGTACATCTTTTAGACGCAGTGATTAAAAAACTGCCAAAATTGTTAAAGATTAATTTCGAATATATGGAATATATATATATATATATATATATATATATATATATATATATATATATACACACACACATATATATACATATATATATATATATATATATATATATATATATATATATATATATATATATATATATATATATATATAAATAAAGAACATAGAAGTCAACTTAGAGGCGACAGTCTGTTTCATGCTAGATCCAATCGTCACGCCCTGACGATTGCATCTAGCATGAAACAGACTGTCGCCTCTCTAATGTTGACTTCTATGTTCACTTTTATATTTACACACGCTCTATCCCTGATATTGAGCACTTTATTCCATAAATATAGCACAGTTTAAGACTATATTTCTTCATATATATATATATATATATATATATATATATATATATATATATATATATATATATGTATTTACTGACCAATGAGAGACGTGGTCTCAAGCCCTAGAAAGGTCCCGGATGGAAGGTGCTGTGAACCTCTTTTATTCACATGTAAGGACTTAGGTCAGCAGATAACTTGAGAAGGCATTTTGACATCATGGCGAACACATCAAGGCGTCGTGAAAGTATTCAGAATAGAATGTACAGAGTTACCGGCCAGCTGCAGAGAACTCAAAAGAATTTTGAAGTTCACAAGTGGAAATTCTTCTGTGGTTGGACAACACAGAACAAAAAATGAATTCAACAAAATTTCACCAAAAGCCTCGATGAAACACGGACATTGTGAATA